GTGTCTGCCCTGAGCAGCTCCCAGAGCTCCTCCCGCAGCAGAACCACCAACACTGGGAACACTCACAAATCCAGGCCGTTGGGGATGATGTAGGAATCCCACCACTCGATCTCCGGGATCTCCCCCTCCTTCAGCTCCTTCTTAGGGGTGATCAGAGCCAACTTGGTGGAGGTGTGAATCCCAGTTTTCCTGGCAGCCTGGGAGATCTCTGCCTGCAGCTTTTCTAGCTGAGCCTGAGAACGAGGAGGGGGAAAATGTCACAAAAAGGCCATCCCAGAACAGCGGAACCTTCAGGAACAGCTCAGCGTGGATCACGTCCTGATTGATTGGGGTTTTTAAATCACCTGACAGAGACTGCAAGAGAAACCACACAGCACCTGCCCAAACTCTGCTCTTATTCCTGAGCCTTTCAGCTCCCTCCCCACTCCAGCAGAGGAGAACCCCCCTCTCCAATACCTTCGTTCGCAACCTCTGGGCGATCTTCTCGAATTTGCCCTTTTCATGGAACTTGAAGGTGCGTTTCTGCCGCTGGGCAGGGGTTATGGAGACCCGGGGGTCGAAGTACGTGTTGGACTCCATGTCCTCCGAGGGCTTTTCCTTGAGCTGCTGCTTGAACTGCTCCCTCTTCACCGCCCGGATGTTGGCCTTGAGGGTGGGCATGCGGTGGGTCAGCTCGATCTCCTTCCCGGTCGCGTCCACCGTCCGGCCCTGCTCGTCCAGGATCAGCGGCGTGGGCTTCGTCTGGTCCTTCAGCTCCACCTTCCTGCGGGCAGGACGAGACGCACACCGCGTTAAAGGGTGAATGTTGAGTTCACTTAGAGGAAATCTGAGCTCATTCCCGTGTTTTTACACCTCCTCCCGCCCGGCACGGGGTACTCACGGCGGGGCGATGCCCATGGCGTGCAGGTTGGCCAAGCCCACCATGTTGGCGTTGCCGATGAGCCCCGGCTTGAGGGCCAGCTGGGCCTGGATCCGGGCCTGCAGCTCGGCGGCCTTGCGGGCCTTCTCGATGGCGTCGTTCATGAAGGTGGCCGCCTGCGAGGGCTGGATGGTGTTGCCGATGGGCAGGCGCTCCGACTGCGACGACGAGGAGATTTTGGGCTGTTGGCAGAGAAGGGGAGTTTCGCTCTGAATTTCCAGCACGCCCAGGCCAACAGGTGGCAGATGGAGCAGGGACCACGTGGGCTTTGCCCCTTGGCCCCAGGAGGTACCTGTGGTGTCGGAGGGCTGATGAAACTCAGCTGCTTTTTCCTCTCCTCGATCTGCCGGGTGGCTGCCTCCATCATCTGCTTGATCTGGAGGGGAAACACACACAGTGAGTGTTTCTTTGCTGCTGGCAAAGGGATGTGGGTTAGGACAAACACTAAACCACGCTGGCACAGGCAGAGGGCAGGTGCCACTGCCCAGCTGGACTGACCTGCAGCTTGGTCAGCATCCCCGGGCTCTCTGACGGCGGGCCCGGGATGACCTCGGGCTCATCCTCCACCTCCTCGAACCGCGGTATCCGCCGCTTCTTGACGCCAGAGGACTCCTTGGACACCTCAGAGTCGTCACCAAACACATCCTAATGCAAAGACAGAGGAGAAAAGCGTGGTTAGAGCGGAGTGTTCTCCCCAGGGGCCGGGATTCGAGGTGAGAAACCAGCACGAGGCTCAGCTCCGGCTCCGAGGGGCAGAACTCCAGGGTGGCACTGCAGGCTGAGCCCACACAGAGCCCCTGCCCTGGGCCCCCAGCAGAGAAACACCAGTGACATCCATGCAGGAGCAGGAGGGACAGGAGGCAGCGCAGGGACCCGCCTGTGTGACAGCCACCACCTTCCCTCGTGTGCTCAGAGGTGGCTTTTGGCACTGAGCACGTTTAAGGTCTCAGCGACACGGAAAGATGGAAAAAGCCTGCCCAGAGCTGACCTGACTGGGATAAAAACATTTCCACGTCTTCGACCGACTCGAGAGGGTTTGGTGAAGGGATCTGTGCTGTCCTGCCACGTCCTCCCCCACAGGAGGGTCGGGACACGTGCAGCACTCCCTCAGGCTCCGAGCCAGGCCACTCCAGCTCGGATCCCAGGCCAGAGCCGCCCCGGGAAAGCAGAGCTCAGAGAGCACACGGAGCAGCGACCCCAGGGAGGGGCTCCCAAAACAAAAGGCACGGCACGTTTTTCCACGGAGCTCTGGCCGGACCCAGCCCAGCTCCCGATTCCATCGTCAGTGCCTGCTCTGTGTGTGCAAACCTGGCCCTGTCGGTGCCCTGGGCTACTGTAGTGTGTGTGTGTGTGTGTCGGGGTGTTATTTGAAAAGAAAATATACACACCGGTCGTAAGCGTTAGTTGCAATCCCTTCTTCACTACAACGGGTCGTATCCTACAAGGACACTTCCTCAGCCACACAGGTACTTCTTGGAAAACCTACAAGTTCAAGAGAAAGGACTTGCCCATAGTATAAAGTGTGGAAAGCGTTCCGTTCAGTTCCTGACCTTCCCAAGCAACGACCTAACCCGGAGCAGCCCAGGGGGCACCGGGAATGGATCCACTGCCCACGCCACGGGATCCACTGGGCCAGGACAGATCCCTCTGCACGGCCTCTGCTGGTCTGGGAGTGCCACCGTGGCCTGAGCACCTCAGGGACCAGCTCTGCTCCCGCAGGGTCAGGACAGAAGAGCTCCAAGGAATGTGATTCCAGAGACAAGGGTGAGGATTTGGCAGGGGGGACGCCCGTCCCCACGCCAGGAGCCAAGAGAAGAAGGATCAGTCTGTGCTGTCACTGCCCAGCCCGGCTTCTGGCTCAGCTGGGAGCCAGAAATACCACCAGGGCTCGGGCCACACACCCCCACTGGGGAGGGGTCCCCAACTGCACCCCCAGCCCAGCCCTGCTCCAGCTGCCAGCGACAGATCCCTCTGCCAGCAGCAGATCCATCTGCCAGTGCCAGATCTCCTGTCAGATCCCCTCTGCCAGCGACAGATCCCTCTGCCAGTGCCAAATCCCTCTACCAGATCCCCTCTGTTTGCCAGCACCTGCTCTCCTGTCACCCGAGGCTGTCCCTGCTCTCCTGTCACCACCAGATGATGGCACTGCCAACGTCCCCACGTCTCCTGTCCCCCTGTGAGGGTCAGGGACCAGCCCAGCACCCCCTGCCATGGCTGGGGGAAGAACAGCAAGTTCCTAACAGAGCCCAGGGAGGGGGGGCAGCTTCTCCCAGCGCTCCCCAAGAGATGCAGATGCCAAGGGGGGTCACTCTGCCCCAGCGGGGTCCACAGCTGACTGACAGGGTCAGGGAAACAGGGGCTGCCACAGCACAGGAACCCCGGCAAGAGTGGAGGGGGAATCCCCTCGAGTGGGAGCAGCATGAAGGGAATCTCAGACTGGGCAGAGCGATGGGAAATGCAGTTCCAGAGGATGGCGGGAAGAGTCCTCAAGAGAAGAAAGGAAACGAAGAGAGGTTTGGATGCACGAGCCTTCCACCATCCCTAACAAGGGGGAACCACCAGAGCTATGGAATCCCAGCTGGGATTAACCCAGAGCTGGGCTGTCAAACCCCACCTCTTGCTGATTCTGGGTGGACAAAGAGAAGGAGAACCCACCAGGTCATCCAGCACAGGGCCCCACGTGGCACCTCAGAGCGACGGGAGCAGCTCTGCCAGGCTCCCGATGGAAACACAGCCTGAGGAGCACGGAGGACAAGGGAGAGGGATCCCTGTGGATTCCCTGCACTGCACCAGCCTAACAGAGAACCCTCCAGGAGAGCCAAAGCCAGGCTCCCACCTGGGCTCTGGGGAAGAGAACAAAGGCTCACACACTTCAACATGGAGAGCAGTCGTTTCTCTTGAACGTTCCGAGCTGTACCTCTCTGGAAGAGGAGAGTGTGCCAGGATGGGGAACACCAGCGCTGCCTCCAGGCCACCCAACCGCAGGAGAAGCCAAACCACAGTCAATAATCGGTAACCAATAATCAATAATCGATAATCACCTTCAGCTCCCGCTTGCGGTTCCGGTCGCTGTTGGATTTGGAGTGGCGGGAGCTCCGTCCCTCCTCCACCGCCTCGAAGAGCTTGTCCACAAACCGCAGGGTGGAGTCGTCCAGGAAGGGCTTCAGGTGGTCTGGAAAGGAGAGAAAGGGTTAGGGCAGAACCCCCAGCTCGGGGAGAGGGTCCTGAGGGGGTGGAGAACCCACAGGGCCCCTCAGGGGATGGAGAATCCAGGGGTCCCTGCCCCCCGCAGCCCCCCCGGACGCACCGGCCGCTTTCTTCTTGTCCATGCCCTTGCCCACGCAGTTGAGCGCGGCCGTCACCACGGTGGGCTCCGAGAAGCCCAGCACCCTCTTCACCGTCTTCTCCACCCATGGCTTCAGCTCGTCCAGCTCCCGCTTGGACAGGGCCATCCCCGGGCCCTGCTGGGATCCCGACCTGCGGAGGGACAGGGAGAGTCAAACAGGGCCCCCCCTGGGGTGGATCCCTCGGGATCAGCACCAAGAAGAGCTCCCAGAGGTGACTTTCGCTGCCTTGTTTTCCCAGTTATCCCTCCTGGAAGTGGGAATGGGATCCCCAAGGGGTCAGTTCCAGCCCCCCTGGATTTCGGATTCCAGGACGTGACTCCAGCGGTTCCCGGGTTCCCCCCGGAGCCCAAAACTCCCGAGCGCGTTCCTAATTACTCAAAGGACTCGTGTAATTAGTGAGTTAGCGCCGCTCCAGCCTCCCCGTCCCGCCCGAGCCCCGGGGGCAGCCCCAGCTCCGGGGATGTTTTCCCGGCAGGGCAGAGCCGCGGCCGCAGCCCCGAGGTCCAACAACACCCGATAAACGCGGCTCCGGCGGCGCGGACAGAGCGACACGGGCAGACAGACAGAGCGACACGGGCAGACAGAGCGACACGGGCAGACAGAGCCGGGAGGCTCCGCGCGGGCCGGGCCCGGCGCCGCCTTCGCCACGGCCTCCCCGTACCCCGCCGCCCTCAGCCGCTCCCGTCCCCGCCAGCAGCACGCCCGCTGCCCCTGCTGGCTCCGTTTCCTCCCCCCGGCCCCGTTTCCTTCCCCTCACCCCTCACCCGCTCCCGGTCCCGGGCCCGGCCCGGCGGCCCCTGACGGTGACGGCGCGTCGGGGCGGAAGCGGAAACGGCGGCGCGGCGCGTGCGCGGCGGGCGCGCAGGGGACGCCGGGAAGGAGGAGGAGCGAAAATGGGGGATCCCTTCGGGCTCCGCCCCGCCCGAATCACGTGTCCATGTGGGCGTGGCTTGGCCCCGCCGGGCTCCGCCCCCTCCCCGCGCGCTGTCATTAAACCGAGTCGACTAATGGGGTTTTTATTGGGGGTTTATTGGGTTTTTTGAGGCTTCACGGGCTCAGCAGCCCAGCCACGGGTCCTGCCGCGCGGCCCGCGCCAGGAAGGCGATCTTGCGGGCCATCTCAGCGCTGTACACCCGACGGCACGCCTCGTACGCCCGGCGCCGCCGCTCCCGGGTCGGCTTCTCGTAGTACCGGGAGCGCCGCACGGCATCGGCGATCCCGTCCTGCGCCAGGATCCTGCGGGGCGGCAGAGACACGGGACTCAGGGGGTCACCCGGCATCGCCCGCCCCGTCCCTGGGAAACAGGAAGGGTCAATCGAAATACTTTTACTGTAAACCCATGAGAGCCCCCCTACCCCCCTGTATGACTTACAGCTTACCAAAAGCTATATTTCGTTTACTGTAAGCTACATTTCGTACAGGAAGACTTTGTCCCGTGCTGGGCATCATCAGACCTTAAAGGAACCACAACAAACACTGGACGAAGAACCCAACGCCCACAAATCTCATCCAGAGGAGCCAAGGTGACATCTCAATAGGTGAAATAGGCCCAGAGCCAAGGGTTTCTGGAAGCCTCAGTGAACAGAACACGAAACAATGGAAGGAATGAAAGGTCACCAGGGTCACCCGATGAAGAGGAGAGAATTTGAGACCCCATGAGGAAGTAAGGCAGGATCTCCCACCATAATATTCCTCAAAATAGAGACCACGCCTCAATCTCCGCCCCTAACTCCACCTGCTATGAATATTGTAATCTAATGATGCAATAACATGAATATGTATGTGGTTATGATGTAATCATTGCCAAACCTGTATAAAATACTCATTCTGACCTAACCAACTGGGAGCCTGTTTTCCCAGCACAGCGTTTACAGAGCCATCGTGCTGTCTGCTCTCCTATATGGGTCTGAATCCTGGGCCATTTACTGGCACCACTTGCGTCTTTCTGCTGCACCTTCTGCAACCGGACTTGTCTATCTGGCATTGGCCTTTTTAGCCATCAGCGCACTTGTAGCAAGCGTGGGGAGAGCCCTTCTCAAATCTTCGTTCCCAAAGCCCAGCCATGATGATGCTGATAGCTGGCAGGCTGCCCGGCCGTTAAATAAATAAATAAATACCTTGCTGTTCTAGGCATAAAACTCTGTCTAAACAGTTTTATCCGCTTTGTTTGGGCATCCCCTGCAAACACCGGGAACAGCTCGGTGTGCTGCGGGAGCGGCCGGGCCGGAGCACCCCCGGCTCCCCCAGGGACCACCGGGGAAGGAATCGCCCCCCACGGGAACTCCGTTAAAGCCGGGGCTGAGGGAGGTGGGAGCGATGGGATCGCCCCATTCCCCGGGCCCACCCCGGCCCGTTCCCTGCCCCCCTTTGCCCCCCCGTTACCTGTTGAGGACTCCGTAGGCCGCCTCCACGTTGCCGTTCTGCACCATCACCGTGCGGGCCACGAACCGCGCGTGGTTCGCCATGGCTGCGGCGGGACCGGGGGGTTGGCACCGGGACCGGGGGGTTGGCACCGGGACCGGGGGGTTGGCACCGGGGCCGGGCCGGGACCGTCCTGCCCGAGGGTCCTGCCCGGGACCTCCCCCCGCCTACCCTGCTAACCTCCCGGTGCCCCCGGAGGATCCCGGTGCCGGGGCCTGTCCCCGTTCAGGTCCCGATGTCTGTCCCGGTGCCCGTTCCCGACTCCCATTCCATTCCCAACCCTGTCCCGCTCCCTGTCCCGGTTCCCGTTCCCAGCCCTGTCCCTGTCCCCGTCCCCGTTTCCGTTCCCGTTCCCAGCCTGTCCCGGCCCCTCTCCCCGTTCCGATCCCGTTCCCAATCCCGTCCCGGTCCCAACTGACCCCCCGACCTGTCCCGGTCTCGCCGTGGCGGCTCCGCCCGGACCGGAAGTGCCGGAGGGCGGAACTTCCCGCGGACGGAACTTCCGGCGGGGCCGGGCCGGGCCCGGGTGGGGGGGAAACCGGGATTGGGGGCCGGGGAGAGCTCGGAGGGCACGGCTGGGCCGGGGGGGACACGCCGGGGTCTCGGGGGGGCAGGACGGCACCCAGGGGACAGGACCCCCCCCCCGGGGGACAGGGCATCCCCCCCACCCAGGGGACAGGACATCCCCCCCACCCAGGGGACAGGACCCCCCCCGGGGGACACGGCCACCCCCCCGGGACACAGAGGACACGACACCGGGTGGCCCCGGCCGCTCCCGCGGCGTTTATTGCTTCCAGCAGGGCCGGCGGGGGGGGGCAGCCCCGCTCGGGGGGGCCACACCCCCCCAAGGCCCCCCAGGCACACTTTGGGGGGCCGCGACCCCCCCAGGCACACTCGGGGGGGGTCACACTGTGCCCTTGACCCCCCCACACCGCTCGGAGGGGTCACACTGTCCCCTGATCCCCCCCACCCCTCGGGGGGGGG